CGAGACGAGGCCAGAGGTGGCCAACCTGTAAGAGGCAGAAAGTTCCCACGACTTCTGCGAAGAGGCAAGTGTCCATCTCAGTGCGCACATTGACAGTTTTTGGCACAGCACGGGAGACATGCATTACGACTGTGATGGTGCACTCTACGTTATGCCCCTTCCATAGAGCCGCACGTGGTGGCTTAAAGAGCCGCACGCGGTTCAGGAGACGCCGATTGGCGCCGATGGCACTGAGACCTCCCGGCCTGTCGCCAGAGCCTTCGCACCTCAGTCGGGCTGCCGTTGTCACAGGCCTCTCATAGCGGACTTTTGAAAATCCTCGCACTAGAATCCACTCTCAAACTATCCCTCCTAAAGCGATCCCTGGCTTTTGGGATTTCGGACTTTCTCCCCACGCGCAGTGTTTAGATTTGTCATCATTATGAACCTGCCGCCATGATGAACAACTACGAATGGATTTTTTTTTCAACCACCCCACCTCCTTTGGCACCTCGACATTTAGTGTGTTGCCTCCTTGTTTAAATATTCATCACTGCCACTCCTATCATCATCATCATCATGCATCATCAATCATCGTGAAGCATCACCTATCCGCTGCTGGATGAAATCATGTCCGTTCCAAAGCCACCCATTGTTTGTGCCGTATCGCAGTAATTCAATTTATTTTATTGCAAGCCAGAGCATTGTTCCTACTCTCCTCTGGTCACCCCCGCTTGATGGGTTTTATTTGGTTTTCAGCTGCCAGTCGCAATGCTAGGTTTCATCAGTATTTGTTTCAGGTAAGGCCATGTGGTAGTTGTATGTCAAAATAAGTGGCATTAACCCTCCACCGCCTGACAAGATTGTCACGTTTACACAGATCGTATTCACCCGTGCCGATGCGTCGATCACATTCTGACCGGTAGTGAACCTCGCGATGGCGTAGAAGACTTTTAACGTCCGAATTCAACATCGACGAACAACGATGTCTCGCCCAAACGATGTTCATGAACTTGAACATCTTTGTTGTTGCTCCGTTTGTTCTTGCAAAATGCTGTGTGCCTAGTCGACATGTATATCATCTACTTACGCAATAACGTACTGTTAACCATACTGTTAGGTCCTATTTTGATATATTACCTTCACTATTTATGCTATTGCAGCACATTTCCTCCATTCCGTTACCCAGCACCACAACGAGAACAGATTGTTGCATCTCAAGTGAGCACCACAACTATTCCCTTTTGCAGAGGAAATAGAAATAGCACAAAAATCGTATTCATTATCTTAATAATAATACAACTTAATGATCTTCCAGTCCTTTGTTAACCCACTGCTTGATGAAGGCCTCCCCTCACCGTGCTGGTCATGGAAGTCGTTGGTGAAAGATGTTGGGGAAGGGTCCAGGCTCAGTTTCAATATTGCTCTCACAACTGAATTTGATTACTCACGCAACTGTGAGAGCAATACATTCAGACTAAACTAAACTATTCACTATTTTTATGTTATCAGGTAAGGCCCACTGAGCTATATAGCTTCAATTTTCAGAAGCGACCTGGCCACAAATAATAGCTCAACGAAGTGGCTTATCACGTGGTCGTTGTTGTCGTTGTTGTTGTTGTCGTTGTTGTTGTTGTCGTTGTTGTCGTTGTTGTTGTCGTTGTTGTCGTTGTTGTTGTTGTCATTGTTGTCGTTGTTGTTGTTGTCGTTGTTGTTGTCGTTGTTGTTGTTGTCGTTGTTGTTGTCGTTGTTGTCGTTGTTGTCGTTGTTGTCGTTGTTGTTGTTGTTGCCGCGCTGTCCTCCTCAGCGACGGCAAGTCTGGAGAGCCGCGGTATCTCCTCGTGGACGTGAAAACTACAAAAAAACACGACGATAACCACACAAAGAAACAACAACAACAACAACAACTAATCCAGCAACAGCCTCTGTCAGATTGTGCCTTTGTTGTCACATTGGCTTGGGCCTGACTGCCGTGTTCCACTTAGTGGTTGTACGGCACACCCAGGTATCTTAATGAGGAATGGGAGTGTTCATTTTGAAAGGAAAAAACAATCTACACAATGCCCCAGCAATGCTATTTATGTGCAGAATGTTATCGTGAATCATTGTCCCAGACGTCTAAAGCCTCCGTTGTGCAGACGACTGTCTTGCTCTTTACGCAAACGTCTTGCATTCATTGGCAAGAGAGGAAACCAAACAATGTAAACTCTCACGCAACTTCGACAACTTTGCACAACACTCCACGCCGACGCGTCACACTGCCACAGCCGCGGCGAGTGTGACATGTCGCAGCCGCTGCCCGTGATGGATGGGGGCGCGCCGTGTAGCCAAGCTCGGCGCGACCACGACTACCAATGTACCACTCGGCCACCGAGGGGGGCAGAGGGGGGGGCAGGGGGGGCAGGCGGGGGAGGGGCTCCTCGCGCGCTAACGCCGCCGTGCCCCCCTCCCTCAACAGCGCTCGTGCCGACGTTTCCATGGCCACTTGTGAGTGCGGTCGCCACGAGCATTGTGCAGAACGACTGACACATGTTCGTAGCGCGTCACGGTGACGAATGTCGATCATGATCCTTACGCACGGGCCTCTTTGTCGATCCACTGCTGGATTGCTGCGTCGCTCGCAGGGGTTGTTTGACCACAGGCCGGTTCGGATATCACTCGCCACTGATTGTAGCCAGTGCCTGGGATCCAACTCCGGTTTGTCGGGTTCCAAGTGCAACGCGCAAACCACTGCGCCACCACTCCACCCTCGGCTTCAGTCATATGAAACCATAATTTTCACCCACAATCTACTGCTAGACGAAGGCCTTCCCATACCATGTCGGGCATGAGGTCTGTTTGACTGTAGTCACCACACTGTTCAGTCTGGGTTCAAGGCAGAATTCTCTGTATTTTATGATGAAAATTGCACCCAAACCTTCCCGTTGGTGAAGCGAGGCGGAGTACGAGTCATGTCCACCAAGCACGTCGCCTGCTCAGTCGCTCACCACTCTCCCAATAGTTTATGGGATATGCTAAATTCATCTTGATATGCAAATTATTTTGTCAAGACGCTCTTCGCCCCTCCATCCCAGCATTAAATAGTCGCTCCAAGCCTGGAGCGTGCCATTCAGACTCTGTCTACTTGACAGACCTGTTCTCCACCTGAAGACGGCTGCTTGCGTTGTGGCCGAAACGTCGTGATAATTATTTTATTATGTTTTATTTTTATTATTTTATTACTTCCCTTCTACGTGACTTTACCGAAAGAACCAAGAAGATGAATTTAATGGTAACATTGTATGTTTGGGCAATTGCATCTGCACGTAATGGGTGATGCCTGAACGGCGAGTGGCCCCTCTATCACCCCGCTTGCCCCATCCTGTAACCTCCGTCCCCCATATCGGGAGAGCGTTCCAGACGGCCGCAGAGGAGCATCTGAAAGCGCGCGATGGGGTGACCGTCTTTGTTCAATACAGAGAACGATAACCACATACATCGCGATTTTAAATTATGTCTATTAAGTTTATTATCTACGTCCATCCAGCGAGCACAAGTCACCTTGTGTTCCTTGTTTGGCGGTAGGCGTGGCCAGCAGGTGGAGAGTTGGGGTGACCTTTCCTGACTCCCCCATTGCCATGAAGAGGAGATGGCATCGCCACCTTGATTTTGTTTCACTCCTGCATTAGCGGCCAGCGGCATTGCTGAGAATTGACTGTAATCAAAGAACCCCTCCACTGAGTCTGTACGGATGAAGGTTTAGAGGAATGTGCAGCAATTCTCAATGGTGTGATATCCGAGAAATTCACACCGCAATCGTTCACTGCTGTTATGGAAATTTAGAAAGAGGTATTTGCAGTATCAGTGCATAGTTTTGCCTGGGAGCCTCGCTGTACATCTTATGTTTGGCAAAGTCAGTGAATACACAAGCTGTCTATCCTGCGTAGAAACACACACACACAGACACACACCTCTTCGCAGCTGTATCAAGGAAAGCAGCTCGGCAGGGTAACTGTTCAATCATTGCACGGGCGTGCGGCCACGTGGCGGGTGACCTGGCTCCGGAATCGGCAACTGCGCGCAGCAGTCGCGCGTCTGAGCGGCCCAGGGTGCAAGGCTCCGCCGTGGGCAGGCGGTGGACTGATGAATGCCCCTGGCTCGGGGTTCAGAAGGGTCCCGCGTGTGTGCAAGCGTCCGCGATGCTATCTGCTCGGCCAACCGACGCTTGCAAATACGCCGCGCTTGGTGTAAATCATGGGCGTTTATTATTCACCCCGGAGAGCCCCTTCATCCGCGCCTTCCCAGGAAACATGCCAACATCGGCCCAACGTTGGCCCAACGTTCTGTGTCGACTTGGCTGTGATTTTTTTTCCGGAGGTGAGAAGCTTCGGATGCTTGGCCAATTCCTCGCCGGGTGCTTCTGCATACCTGAAGCCACGCCACGCGACATTGATACCGAGCGTTTGTGCAACATTGACATGATGCATCGAAAACGGTTGAGAGTCCGGAGTTTGCGGTGTCGTTCTCTCACCGGGGTCGCGTGGATTTTCTCTCCAAGTTTTTCCCTCCACATTTAGAATCGACATCACCACGCGTTTCGAGTATTCGGTTGCTGCTGTACATTTCCACGTGATAAGCGACTTCGTTGAGCCTCTGAAAAAGAGCTCTCGCTCAGTGGGCCTTACCTGGCAAAAAATAAAATACAGCAAAATAAAATATTTAATTTGCCAAGAATAGTTGCATTTTATTATTTTCATGACAACTCAGCCTGAGCCACAAAGCGCCGATCGCAGAAGCAGCAGCAGTAGCAGCAGCAGCAGCAGGGCGAGTTGGGCGCTACTGCAGGGCTGCGCGAAAGAGGGAGAATTGGGCTCAGGGGGGCGGGGCACGAGCGAGAGGGCACGGACGTTGTAGTGGGGGGGGGGGGGGGGAGGTAACGAACATACTGGGGGGGGGGGGGGGGGGGGACAGGGGACCGGGTTGGGATTTGCCAATGATGTTAAAAGCCACGGCAGGGAAGTGAACTCTGACCTCTGGGCTCAGAGCACAGCGAGCGACGGGTCAGTGCGCGCCGCTCCATGCGCAGGAGATTCGCGATCGTAGAAATCGATTTCAACGTTAAAGGTAAATGCATCGATTCGCACATGTGAGGAGCCATTGTTGTCTATTCGTACACGCGTGTGAGGCATTTACATGACCCCCGTAGCCGCCAGAGGTTGCTACATTCACCGCAATGTCAATAAATTAATTGGTGACGCAATTTTGAGAGTCCACGTATGGCATACCTTGTCGAGCAGCACTGCATGCATATTCAGACTCGAGTGATTAACTTGCCTGTACACAATAATGAACTAGAAGATCAACACGCATTTGACGCAAAGTGCGTTAATATGGACTTTGCAAAAATCTTCACGTCAGCTCTTTGTCCGATGTTTTAACTTTTATTACCATCTCATTTCCGTGAAGCATTTCTTTAAATCGCCCCGCCACGCGTTACCCACCCGTGAACATATCGGATCGTACGGGCAGAATGGACCGAGCATAATCCCGAAGACAAACGACTCATCTGAATTAGCGCGGAGTGCTGCTGCCGGCGATAAAGTACATTGTGTGTGTAATTTCTCTCCATTTTATAATGTCCTTTCAATTTTTGCGTAATTTTACTTAATCGCTGTGAAATAAAAACATCAACCACGTCATTAATCTGTCCACGGCTTTCATTTCACGCGAGTGATTTCGCCCGCTGCAGAGAGCACACGAGCGAGCGAGCGACTGACGACGTGGCCAGCAGTGGGCCCAGCAGGGCCACCCTCATGGGCCACACGAGCAGAGGCGGCCTGGCGGCCCATCGGCGTCTCGAAGCCGCTGGCTCTCAACACGTTTCCCTGCGGCAGCCCCCCAGTCAAGACCGCTGGTTCCTGTCCCCCCCCCCACACTGCCCAGCTTCCACCCAGCAGGTGACTCAGACCACAATGCACTGGCAGATCACATGTCTCTCGTCAATGCGGTGTGAGTAAGGCAATTGATTGATGTTTTGTATCCGTGTGCCCTGTGTTTGTAAGGCGTTTGCTTCAGGTCGTGTATTTGTGAGTGTTGTGACCGCAACGTGGCTCTGATATCCTCTGCACGCGTACAAACACGTTGCTGCACGGTATCCATGCTGCAGTCTGCTGCCTTAAGCAAAACTCATTGAAGGGAAATTATTGTTTTCGGAGTCTACTCTTTTAAAGTATAAACTGTAAGTAAGATGACGGCAGAAGGGATATGGACAGGAGAGACGAAGCGATATAAGCATAGAGAGTCAGGGACGACCTGGAGACGAAATAGGGTCTTTTGCATTTTATGTGAAATTGCGAGTCCATGCTTATCACGATCTGAGCTGATATTTGACTTGATCCCGATTATCTTCGTGAATTGTAGGACCGCTTGCGCCTATTGGGACCGCTCAGCCTCGTTGCTTGGCTTGCTTCCGCCCAGTGCCGCCACTTCACACAGGCACACCGCGGGAGCACCCTTACAATCAGACCACGAGGGCACTCTGGCCCGAGAGAGTTGGCGCGCGGTGACCCACTCGTTGCAAAAGGTGGCAGAGCGTATTCTGAGCAAGCGTAATTCATCGGCGTTCGAGTGGGAATCGGAATTAATAACTGAAACTAATTCGAATTAAAATCGCCCCGTTTTTTTTTTCAATAACTTTTTTCCATTTTTAAAAGAGTAACTGCGTCTCCTAAAACGTTCGCTACTGGAGTCGTGTGCTGTTATTTATATGCTGGATTCTTTTCTTTTTTTACAATAGTGTCCTGATTATATTTTTTTGAAATTAGATGGAATCCGTCACACGTGACTTAATTTTGATTGAAAAGTATTCACTGCATGCGAAATGCATTAATGCGAGTAGAATAAAGTAGGATACTTTTCTTTTGGAGTGGCAAGATGGAACGATGAAATCATCTCATGTGCAGATGCGATGTAGATTATATCATCATCATCATCACAAGATCATGATGATTATGTCATCATCATCATCATTATCACAAGATCATGATGATTATGTCATCATCGCCAGATCACGAAAGATGGCAGCGGCTTGAGGAGCCCTTCATCCAGTCGTGTATTGAAAATGACTGATACCGGTGATACATATTTATACTTCTCATTAAATCTCCAAGTAACTGGTATTCATATTCATGGAACTTCATTGAAGACAACAATTCCCCGTAATAGACGGCAGGCTTAACCTCCCCCAGTGGCCTCGTGCCACCAATAGGCAATCTCATCACACGCAGGCATGGCATGTTTCACACGCGCAGGTTTTCGTGACCAATGCTATGATTCATAACTAACTTGTTTGTCAGATCACATCAGTGAAATGTCTGTCGTAAACCTTCCTCCCCCCAACATAGCCAGCATCACCAGGCAGCTGCCAGAGATCTAATTTCTGGCAAATCTCGTTAATTGTAACGACCAGCGAAACATCCCTTACAAATTGGGAAACGTTGCAGATTGCTCTCCAACACACCGGTGGTGCTGAAGCTGAACTACATTGGCACGTTTGTTCACATAACAACTTTATGAATTGGCTGCATCGAGTGGTGGAGGGTGTATTGTTAGTCTACAATGTAAGCACCGGCTGTACTTCATACATCTGCCACCCGTCATAGTTTAGTGTATTTATTAAGTTGATGTTGCTCGTACTGCTGTGCTTCCGATTCACATTGCAGCTCGCGACTATACTTTGATTTCGACCGTATTACTTGGATTGACTCTTGGACATTTTACATTGTTGTTTTATGTAAAACATTATTGAGCAGGATTTTGATATCCTAACAAAACGGTAATGGCACGGTATAAAATCAATAAATTAAGCCAAACTCATGGAAGAAGAAAAAGGGCAACTGGTTTAGCAGGGAATGTGACGGAGTGACTGAGTACTAGGGTCGGACATACGACAACAGCCAGTACAATATATAATGACGACAATAATCGAGCAGTCATTTTTTTCAAAATATCGTGATTATATTTGCTCATTTAATTGTGTACATTTAAAAAATATCTTGACAAAGTATTTGAGCAAATTTTGATTTTAAGTAAACAACAAATACCCGCCCCTCGCCCCGTGTCCCCCGGCGATAATGGCCTTATCGTGAAAATGAACATCGCATCGTATAAAATAATATCGCGACAACCACACCGAGTGCGGGCACCTGGCGATGACGTGAGAGTCAGTGGGAGTGGGGCAAGACGCCAGCTGAAGAGTGAATCCCCGGACAGGATTCAACGTTTGAATGCATTCGCGTGTCCTCGGCGCAAGTGGTCTGGAATTGTTCTGCCCGTCCATGAATTAGCACAGCCCTTGACATTGGAACGTGCAGAGTCGCACTTATTGAAGGCAAATGATGAATTCAATGCCAGAGCGTGGGGTCACGGTCCCAGGGCTCAGATCAGGTGACCTCGAATTCAGACGTGAGCTAACAAGGTTTGTAGATGCTGGGAAGTTGCCGGGGATGGCTCCTGCAAAGGACTGCTAAGACTTCGCTTTCCGAGAGCCTGGGGTAACACGAATGGCCAGCGAATCTCACACGACATCAGCACCCCCCCCCCCCCACGTTTTTCATATTTTACATCCTCGCTGAGACACACTGTTCTCAGAAGCAAAGGCAGTAAATCTGGTCGTGCACGCATGATAAATTTTACGGTCAGGAACGTCTGTGGCGGTGTGGTGGTGAAGGGAAGTGATGGCATGATTTTCATTATCGTCGGGTTATATCACTCGCGAATGGCTCCTTTTGGAATCTTTATGTTGTTTGCTCTACAATAAATATAACTGCCTGTGTTCGCACGCGTGCAGCATTTGCATATGCGAAAAACTCAAGAGAGCAAACGCGTACGGCAACCTAGTGGGAAAGTATGCTGGTAGTGTGCCATCTCGATCATGTTTAGCATCCACAGCAACAACATTAGCGCTCTAATTAAAAACAACCCATACAACACATTCTTTTACAGTATATTTGTATAAACAAAGACAAATCCTCATGTTTACATCACAGACTGCGGGGCAAGGGTAGTTATCGAGCACCTATTCCGTTTTTGGCAGAGCACACAAGCAAGGAAGGACCCACAGCAGAGTCGTGCTCGCCGTCTGGCGGGAGCCGATGGTGCTCTCATGGTGTTCTCATGGTGCTCTCATGGTGCTCTCATGGTGCTCTCATGGTGCTCTCATGGTGTTCTCATGGTGCTCTCATGGTGCTCTCATTGTGCTCTCATGGTATTCTCACCATCGGCAGGATCCGCAGTCGAGGCCGAGACCACCGCGTTGATAATGGAGCGCTTTCTTTACCCAGAGAAGAAGCCTCGTTGAGTCTCAAGCCTCTTGTTCAAGAAGGTCCTGCATTGAGACGCGAGGACGATTCCATGGACGAGGCCTTTGGCTTTCGGGAGGCCACCGGAGCATCAGAACAAACCCTGCACGACACCAACACTTGCATCTCGTGGCCACCACCACCACGCAGCCCCACCTCTACCACACCTGGCAAGCCCCGACAGTGATCACCCACCCATCCATCCATCTATTGAGTCCATACAGTCTTTCCCCAAATCGACGACTCTTCCTACACAGCGAGACTCGGTTCATCCCCCTCCGCCCACACACAGGCGGGAGGAGCGCGTGGAGAACCCTGGGCGAATTCACTAGTTCGAAGAAGGAGGCATTCATATGAAGTCACTCTTTGGTTATTTCGGTAAAGTCACATGGAAAAGTAAAGTCTCGTTTCTACGTGACTTTACCGAAAGAACCAAAGAGTAATTCCTGCAGTCACGAAAGCTTCACATCAAGTTGAATATGAAGTGTCACTTCGGCACCGGTGTGACGGACTGCTGCACGTGGCTTCTCTCTGGGATCGTTAGGTGGACGGGCTATGCCCCCCTATCACCAACTTATTTTATTATTATTTTCGTAATTCTTCCTTGGTCATCAGCCACGGTCAACCCTCTGCTGTGTGAAGGCCTCCCCAAGTCGCCTTCGTCTCTCACGATCCTGCAACGCGATAGTCCACCAAGCACCTGACCTGACGTTTAAACACAAAACAAAACATCTTCCTTCTTCAGCAACGTCGCAATACAAACACGTGCGGTTATACTCCAACTGTGCTATCCGAATGAGACGGAGATTTAGATGAGGAACCGACCAGCGTGGTGAAGTATGGTCAAACAAACTCCATGACCCACGTGGCGGAGGCCTTCATCCAGCAGTGAACTGACAAATGCATCCCCGCATTGATGCGCATATCCCATGCTGTGGGTCGAGATGTGAGGATGCTTCGTAAACCGATAAACGGTCTAACCGCACCTCTGTGTCAAAAAACTTTTACTCTGAGGAACGACACTAAATCCAATCAATGCATAAAAGATATTAACCATGGGAAGCACTCAGGCATCCGCGCGCACATAAATTCTAATCCTAATTGTAGAGGGCAGGGCACCCTGCTCCTAAATAACAATAAAATTCTCTCATCCCCGCCAAGGAATCAATGGAGGCATTTGATAACAGAGCAACACCTCCTGGCGAAGTGATAAATGGAGAAGTAGGGGAGAAAAAAATAACAACAAACACGACAAAATAACAACGACGGTCTCCCGTAATCAGCATTTCCATCCCGTGCCAGAAGTAATCTTACACATTCTGATTTTATCGAAAGGGAGAAGTTGTGCACAGAAATGGATTGTAGGTGGCATTAATCTGATCTGCCTCAAGACAAACTTTTACACGCTCGCGAAAAGGTCATTTGAAAGACGAGTTTCTGTCCTTTGAAAAGATTGTGAGCAGTTCATCGGAGGCCTTTTTTTTTCTTCCCGCGCTCGTACATTTTTGCCAACATTTATCCCGAAGTCCATTCATGCTACGGATGTATCAGCCGTAAATTCTGATTAACATGCGGCTGTGCTTTATTGCTGCGCAGAGAATATTGTGTTGTCTGTTGGATTCTGATCTCTACAGCCGCAGCGTTCGCTCCGCTCCCTTCGCCGCTTGCTATTCAGGGCGAGCGGTGCACGGTTAACCCTTGAACAGGGCGCCGCAGTCATCCCAGGCAGCGCGTAAATCGATACAACAATCGGATTGACCTTTAGCGTGCGAGCACTTGGCATGCCTGCTAAATGGACGTGAATGCTTTTAATGAGCGTTCAGGGTTCTTTTTTTTTGTTAAATGACCAAAGTACCAGAGGCACGCTAAGAGATTTAGGACGGCTACCTTCTGATCTCCAATCGAGGCCCCCTGCTACTGTCACACCCTCATCCCGGCTCTCGCGCTCACAACGAATTTAATTCTCCGCAAGCCGTTGACGCAATGCAAAGCAAACGTTGAATGAGAAGCAACGAGCGCTACCAGCGATCACGGTCAATGCGCCGGACCTGCAGTCCAGAGGTTCGTCGGTTCGATTCTATCTCCCGGCGTGGCAGTCGAAACAATGGGGCGGGGGGGGGGGGCAATTTGCTTCAGTTCCTGACAAATGCCTCTGTCCACCGAGTGGAGTGATTCCGTTGACGGCAGGTAGTCGACTGGCAGGACCCGCGCGGTGGGATGAAGTGTGGCTGCACCTCCTCCTCCTCCAGGAAATGGGCCAAGAATGGAACAGCCGTCAAATACCATCTCGAGCAGTGGTGCTTCACCTTGACCGCAGCCTTGCATCTCTTTGGTTCGCAGTCGCTCAGCAATTATAATGTTCATAAATACACAGCCCGTGATGGAACAAAGGAGTTGTACTTACACGTGCCCGTGCTTAAGTTGTGTTTCGATGATTAAGCTTCTAAAACAACGATCTGGCCACGTCTCGCACCCACAGGTGATGCGTGCACCCCAGGTTCAGAGCCACTGACCCAGAGGGACGCTCGGATTCTCGCGAGTGGCGAAGCGCGCTCACAGCTGCATGCGGCGGGAACCAACTCCACGTGGACAGGGAGATTCATTCGTCCCCAGTGCCACCGAGCGAACAGAGAGCGAAGAATGCGACTCACGCGAATACAATTCGAGTGCGGTGCCCTGCCACGCTTACACGTGTTGGCAGTGCTGGGAATGGAATGCCAAGGAAACAAACGGCACGTTTAGTTTCGGGAAGTCATGGGCTTGTAACACGTTCCCCCTCATTAGGTCTTGCTCTGTTAGCACTGCAGCAACTTAAACATCGTATTATTGTACTACCTCAACCGTGTGGGTCATTGAGGCCATGAACGCTTCCTTCACCGGCATCTCCTTGCAGATGTCTCTCCACTTCTGTTCTGTGCGTCGCTGCGTCTCGCAACTGAGATAGCTTCCCGCACGCCTGCTGTTGGATGTTTGATGTCCAGTCAGAAGCCGGTCTTCCTCTTCCCCGAGCACCTTGGAGTGACCCTTTCCCTCATCATCCTTCCGTGTCGGTCACCATTCTTCCTGGTCACGTGTCTTAATATTGTGGCTTCCTGTAAAGGACTCAACAAATGTTTTTAACACTTTTGAGAATTTGCAACATCACCACAATAAATGTGCCACCTTCGGGCTCTGGAGACCACTTGGAGAAGATTCCAGGCACGCGTTGACAACGATGGCGAACAAGTGGAGATTCTTAGATTTTTTGAAGCTATTAACATATTTACATTTGTTATTATGTTACAGTGTCGCATTATCCGTTCTTTTACCATTAAAAACGATAGTCCCATGTAAGTGCTAACATTGTTTTGAAGCGCCCTGTAACTGGCTTGGTAGCCTTGAATCTTTGTCTGTGCTGCCTATTGACCCAATTACTTTCTTATGAACTTGGAAATTACATATCCTTCTGCACAAATTGTATTTAATGAAAGTAAAACCTCACCAGTACAAGCGGACTGAGAAACTAACGAAAAAAACCACGACGGAAATTTCCCTTCCCACTCCACCGAGACAACTCGAGTCGAGGCAATGTGCAACACTCACACGACACGTCCCGCATTGAAACCTCGTGTGGGAAGTTCCACTTCGACACACTTGGGGCATCTGCAGTGGGGATCCTTGGTGGGTTGAGCTGCCTCCTTCCTCCACTGTGCAGCAACAACAACAACCACCACCACCATCGCCGCCGTTCATCACTAAGTGGCGGTGACGTTACCACGGCGCCTGTGCCAGGCTGGGTGCACTTTGAGGCCACGTGAAGTGTCGAAGGCCCGCTGCTGGCAGGATGCCACTGAACAGACCCACGCGTCATGGGTTTGGCCGGCACACTTTGACAGCCATGCACTCTCTTCCCTTTGATTTTGTTTCGTTGTCGTGACACACATCCCTCGCTACGCTCTTCACGGCGTCCTTGATTGTACTCCATCTCGGCCAGGTACTACAGCAGCGGAATGTCTCACACGCCACTCTAACCATTGTGTTACTGCGCGTCGCTGGCCCTGTTTATGTTCGTGTTGGTGAAAGGTTTTTGATGATAAAAACAGTTACAATAAAAATGTCAACCGTGCCGCACTGCGCACCGAGTGCACGGCAATACACGCTCGCTCAGCATCGCTTCTCGTCGGGGTGCTTTGGGTGGGCTTCCTGAGTCCCGGGCTCTCGGTCTACATCATGAAACCCCTGCGAGTCTCAAGCCCCTTGGTCTCAAATAAGTTTATGTTTTTGATGTGTTTAAAGTGCGAACGCATCATTATCGCCTCTCTGTGAAACCCCACAATGCTGCTGGGAGGCATCCACTGCTGCCAAGTTTTAGCTGGTGGATATTGTGTAATATTAAGAAAAAATGGGGCCATAAAAGAAAAGAGCTTTAACCGAGGGGGTTCATCAAAGAGGCCGTCACCACTTTTAAATGGAAAGATCACTCGCGTAATTGTTCGTGCTGCTTCGGTGACATTTCACGGAAAATTCTTCCCCGCGACCCTTCCGTCACAAAGCAGCCCCGTTTGAGCGCTGCACGAATGTCGAATGGGCCCGTATCAGCTGGCCCACTTCAGGTCTGCCGAGGCTGTCAGAAAGTGACAAAACTGAAATAATGGAGTATAAAAATACAGTCCAACCGCATCGCACATTCATTGCATTCCAGTTAAAGCAAAAACACCAATTACACGTGTGCATTGTACTTCAATTAGTTGAGTCTGTGCAAATAACATTAAACTCTTGTTCGTTGTAGCATTATGTATGTATTTGCATAAACTGAATTACATGCATCTAAAATGTCTCATTGTTATTTTTTAAACATGTACTGCAAGCCGGGTTGACATAGTTAAATATATATATATTACTGAGTGGCGATTTTGATTAAATGTATGCACACGCACAATGACACGTGTTCACAGAGTTCCATGATCATTGCTGTATACAATTTAAAGTGGCTTTCAGCACTGAGACCGGAGTAGTGCAACATTAATTAAATAACTATGCCACCTATTTAATTGTCGTGAATATAAAACACACCACATTTGTAATCCTGCAACGAAAAGGCCTTTGCATGCAAAGGCTATAAAGTGAATATGGAGTAAGGACACCGAAGAAGAATGAATGAATTAGACGATGATAATCTAAGAAGGGCCTGTCAAGAAACGAGCATCGCCGTGTGAGATGAGGTGTGAAGTCTCTGCTGTGGCACGTGCTGCCAGCGACCACTCTCTCGCCCCAATGTGATGGCCAATGTTTGCTCTCTTCTTCCTCCCCCACAGCTGACACTTGTAAGGAAGCCTAAAGCACACCTCCGTTAAACTTAAAACATGGAAAATACCGTTTGGACTCAAACAAAGTATACGACCACGTCTCACGATTCTGTACAGAGAAGCAGGGGGAAAGATTTAGCGCATTTTAGAAGGAGAGAAACGCGGCCAGGAAGAGGTGGTTACAGCAAATGTCTTGAGGCTGGTCTTGAACAGACGCATGGAGTCAACGGCACGGATGGCTGGTGGGGGGGGGGGTACAGACTGTCGGGGTAGCAACAGAAGAGCGGCTTCATCGCCTCTGTCGTGAGCAACCGGCACGCGTCGCCGTGACGTCTCAGGCAATGGCATTTCTTTCGGAGCAACGGGGAGGCGCAATCAGAGGATCTCAAGTTCATGCGGCGAACATCTTAAAATATTACCGCACGCTTTTTTTCGAGTCGGCGTACGAACGGTTCAACTAACGCTCCTAAAAGTGTGTTACAGAATATCTGAGAAAAGAAAACTTTTTAATATGCCAAGTATTTCCAATTTCGTAGGCATCACATTAAAAAAACGTCATCTGCTATCACAGCACAAAGACTAATGCTTGAACGTCCATCTCTCTCTCTGCTCTGAAAAAGGGAATTATTCCTCGAATATTAGCCTACTGTCTGATAAAACTACATCAATCATTTACAGACCTTTAGCAATCCACTGCCCGACTGAAGCCCTTTGCATGGTGTAAAGCGTTGGGGGTTTTTTTTTTAAACCACAATTCAACACACTGGTTGGTAAAGAAGAGGGTCGCAGATTTGGTTCCAGGGTTCACTTTCCTATGACGTGAGCTGTGGCGGGGAATCAAACTCAGGTGGCCGTGTTCACAATGAAGGGTGCTAACCACTGTGCCACCGCTCCACCTCAGCCCACTACACAGGGTGTCTTTGTGCCGTAAATTTGCATACAGATTTAGCACAAGCGAAACGTCGTTATCAATTGTTGTGCTTTACTCGCTATCACACGGCTGTGCTCAAGTAATAGCTCATTGCCACGTTTTGTTCACGCGACAAACCTTACTAATTGGCTGTGTCGAGTGGTGGTGGGTTAACGGCACATTGATATCTACACGATCTAACCCAAACACTTGTATTTTGTGTGCACATGACGGTGGCGTCGTTTGTTTCAGCCTGAGCTTGGTCATCAAGCTCATGGCCTACGGAGACCCCATGAATATTTCAGCCCCCAGGATGAGAAAAAAAATCAATGTAACAGTTTCTTGTTTGTAGCCTTGCCATTCCTAAATTATATTACATTGCATTAATGTTGACCATTCAAACTGAAAAGTGAGCAAAATAAGCACAGAGAATTGCGCGCTTGAAGTTACGCGAAGAGGCGGAGAGAGGAGTATTTGGGTTGCGGAATATATGCAGGTGAAAGACAGAGAGTAATTGAATCTCTCAAGAAAAGTGAGTGGACTTGGGATAGACTGAGTGAGGCTTGGGATAGACTGAGTGGACTTGGGGTAGACTGAGTGGACTTGGTCTTGAAGCGTCAAGAACAGTGACCGAGTGGCGGCCAAGGAATGGAATGTGTCCAAGAGTCCATCCACAGAGGAGATGGAGCAATTCAATCAGCAGGTGCTCCGTCGATTCTTACATCACAGTGGCTTGGTGAGGCCTTCACGCAGCAGTGGACAGATCGTGTCTGATGGCGATTATTCGTTATTCCTGTGCCGAAATTCCCGTTTTCCAGTGCGTGAAAACAATCACACACACGGAGCTTTACTCCCGTTTACAACGGCGATCGTAATGAATAGAGTGAAAAAAGCCAAACGATCGACTGATTCAGCATGCCACTATTATAAATTGAATGCATATTTCATTTCACTTGTATTTTCAACAAGCAAGCATGTAGCAACAGCACCAAGACACGAACTATCTGGTACGGACGAGCGGCACGAGAGAGGCGCCTCGTTGTGGTGAGAGGGCGATGACGTGGCCAAGCCGGAGTGCACTCGCCGCTTGCTGCAGAGGGTCATGGTTTGAGTCCAGCAGCCACCCTGGTTAATGATGCGTGTGATGTAACGATAACATTTTTGTGGGCCATCTGCTCCACAGTGGAAGTTCCACTGATATCATGAGCAAGAGTCGGGTTCAAATTGACAAAAGTAAAAAGATCACCTGCAAAATACTCAATTGGGATTGGACACAAAAATCATTGCCCCCCGAATAGCAGCCAAATGCCCTGGGCTACTCACGCAAACGAGACTCTGTCCTGGTCTCTTGAGTTTCTCCCCTGGTTAAACAAAATACACTTGGCACTCGAAACTAAGGGCAGAGAGAGAGAGAGTAGCAGAGGACAGAGAATGAGAAGCGATGAAGTCAGCGAAGCCTGCCAGTGCACAAGGGGCTAAAGGTCAAGCTCGCAACCGGCCAATGAAAGATGAAGTTTAATTACTACCATTGCTTCGACGATTCACCTCTTTCATATGATTGATATATTTGGTTTATTCACATATGTGAATACCGTATCCTGCTAATTTTGCTTCGCCAATAACGACGATTATTGATGATGGTAATGATCGATGACGTTACAAAAAAGTCTGGCATGTTTGGCAGGATTTTTTACATTTTACGTGTCACTGGACCACTGTTGAGAAACAATCCCCAGGATTATCCTGAAACATTGCTGTTTGTTTACGTAACATATTCAAAGGAGTGTATCAGCACGTGCTATTTTATGAGGTGAAGTGGCCACACAGTGGTTAGGGCACTGTGCTATGAACCTGGAGACATAAATTCGATCCATACTCACGGCTAACATCAGTGAAGAGTTCAATCTGACCCCTCTCCCACCCTCTCCACCATCAACAATCAACCTCTGTCCTGTCCAGCGTGGTGAAGCATGGTCAAACAATCCCCATCGACCAGCGTGGTATGGGTATCCCTTCATACTGCCGTGGATTGACAGAGGGCTAAAATAATCTGTTATCATGAAATTACGTCGATGCTATTTTATATGAACAGATGCAAATCGTGCGTTGGCGGAAGTCTGTTTAAGCCTGGTGGATCACTCTATGCATCTTCGCTATCGGTCTTTGAAACACAACACCCTCGTGAACTGGACGGAACCTCCTTCCACATGTGGACCACGGTCGGAGGCCCCCTCCCGTCCCTGTACATTCCCATGGCGTTTCAGTCGGGCTATCAGCACCACGTCAAGACAACTCTGCAGACAGCAGTGCATCATCCTGTGCCATATAATGGCCCTGGAAGATGCTGGAAGATTCTGTCACGCACTTTCTTCTGAAGTCACTTCTTTATCTATCTATACGAGACACACACACACACGCGCACACACACACACATATACACACACACATACACACACACACACATACACAACAACAACAACCGCCATTCGCCACTAAGTGGCGGTGACGTCACCACGATGCTTGTGCCAGGCCAAGTGCACCTTGAGGCCACGTGAAGTGTCGAAAGCCCGCTGGCAGGAGGTCACGGGGCAGACCCAGGTGCCACTGGTCGACTGACCGAGATGACCGAGATGACTGGCTGATGCACCACCTGTGCCCCCTACTGTGCCAACTTGCTGTGCTTTAGCCACCCGGCGCTCCGCTCGTTGTTGTGAGCGTCGCTCCTCCGCCCTCCGTTGTTGTTGGAGGGCGACTGCCTCCAACTGCCCAGTAGCGTCCTTCACGAGCCTCCTCCACTGAGGCCGATCTTGACACCGCTGGTACCAGTCATCGGCAAGTCCACTCAGCTCCACGTCCTCCTGTACCACATCACTCCATCTCTTCTCCAGCCCGTGCCGCGCCCGTCTAGCCCCCTTGATCCGGCCGAACAAAAGCTGTTTAGGCATGCGGTGGCTGGGCATGCGGGCTACATGACCCAGCCAACGCAGCCTTGCCTGCCGGAGGAGCTCACTGATGGGACTTTGCCCAGATCTTTCAAGGATTTGTGAGCTCCTCACACAATCCAGCCTGGTTAAACCCAGGATGGATCGTAGGCAGGCCAGCCTAAATGTTTCCAACCGGCGAAGATGCTCCACCAGGGGGGTCCACGTCTCGCAAGCGTAGAGAAGGGAGGGAATGACCGTGGCCGAGAAGACCTGAAGCTTCGTGCGGAGCGACAGACCAGGTAGCTTCCACACAGCGTTACGCAACCGATGAAAAGATATTGCCGCTCGACTGATTCGGAGTGAGACCTCTGCTGATAGACTGGAGCCGGTCATAAGCACACTGCCCAGGTATGGGAAACTCTCCACTCTCTCCACAACTGCCCCATCACCAATTGGGAGTTGTGGGGGTGGAGTGTCCGATGGTACAAAATACCCAGGCAGGTGCTTGGTTTTGGTGGGGCTGATGGTAAGGCCCCAC